TTAAAATAAGAAGAGGAATAAAGGGTGAAGAGTTGGGATTGTAACAGAGTTTCTCTAACCGCAAAATAGCATTCCTCTCTTCTTGGTTGTGTTTCAGGTAGCGACAGCAGCAGATGGTAAACTTAGCTCCCATTGGCTCTTTCCAAAAGTTTTTTAAAAAAATAATGGATATTGATCCTTCACAATAAAATCCCAAAACAGCCTTCAGTCAAAGATTTCTTCAAAAATCTCCAAAAAACCAAAACAAAAAGGGCACAAACTCCAAGCACGAGCCGATCCTGTTACGTGCTTCCTTCTGTCCTGGCCTGAATTCCCTCCCTTGGTCAATTACATTATCCACGTGAAAAAGAAACAGGGGAAAACAACACACACACACACACACACAGGATACTCCAGGGATGAATGGCACACTCAGTAAGTCCTGATGGTCCAGACTGCAGTGGCGAAGGCAGCAACACTTAAAAACTCACACTTCTTGAGTTTACTGCTCTGAAACTGGAAGTGTGATTTTTATTATACTTAAATATGTGTCTCATTGCATGAAGCAGAAAGAGGCCTTTTATACCGATGCTTTATTAATATCTGCTCTCACATCCCTCTAATACTCGAGTCTTCTGTTTGAAAGTCCTGTATGATCATTCTGGAGCACAGCACTGCAGTCTGGAAGATCAAAGCTGTCCCTGGGACATTAAAACACAGTGAGAAGGATTTCTGACCAAGTCTGGAGTGAGTGTGATCCACAGTTAGGAGCAGTGTGTTTCTCACCACAGGAGTCATCACCTAAGACAATGTAGTAGTCTTTGGACTAGTTTATGGTATAGTTCAGATAAATATTTAATGCACTTCTTTATAGTCTTTTTGAAGGAGACCTGTAGCTCAAGACGGATCAGCTGAAGGTCCAGAAGCTTCTCTCAGGTCTTGTCTCAGGCTTATTTTTCCTGTTTGTTGAGGACATGACTTTCAGATGTTGTTCGTGTGTTCAAGACATTTTGGACAGATTAAGATAAAGATACTAAGATATCTGCTTTGTGAAGACACAAGCCTGGTCCATCCCTTCTTTTAATGCTTCAGTGAGTCATAAGTCAGAGTTAACAAACATCTGGGCAGGTACAAAAAGGAAGGAAATTATAGATTTTTCAAAATGAGTAGTTGGTATTGCTGTTCCTGTCTTCCACAGTAGATGGCAGCATCACCCCATTTTACTCTTTCTCGCCCATGTGGGCCCCTCTCACTCAGACATGCTGGTTGTGTTTATTTTTATTATGAGCTGTCGATGAAGCTTGAGGATTTGTCAGCATAGTTACCTCCTCAGCCATGAAAACCTTGCTATCACATATGTTTCTCTTCACTTCCACCATCAGGTTTGATTAGTCATCAAGAAGAAAGTGAAAAACATGTTTTGGCTGTGTTTGCTTTTGTGCATAGTTCCTGCACATTATCAGAGCGACTAAATTATTTATTTTCTTCATAAATTTCTGGCACATTTACATGAAAATTTACATTTCAAACATCAAAGCGATCTAAGACTCTCTCTTGTGAGTTGCTGCAGTATTTAAAGTGGGCTATAGAAAATAGGACAATAATGGAATTATTTAGAAAACTGCAGACACGATGGAAAACATCTGCACGAGCCAGTGAGCGTGAGGATCTGAGGGGTTTATGTATTTCTTTCTTAAACAGTCCAAACGTTACTCAGTCAGCAGGTCACGGCCTCTGGTGTTGAGAAGATCACACTGCGCCTTGCCTGCTGTGACGTGGATACATACTCTCATTGAACTCCTTGTTTACATGGGATATGATTTCATACAGTGTGCTGTTTGCATGCTGTACTGCACCCACAGTTTTAATTAGACTAGTGTGACATGTAAAAGTGATGAATAGGTCTCGCATTTGTCTTCTTCATGTTGCTGTCTTATCCGGCGTTTGAGCAGCTCTCTGAAGATGGATATTTACCATCTGCCGTGGTTGCTGTTGTTATGTTGCTCATAGTTCTGAACGAGTTTGCATTAAAAAGAAAAGTGTCCTGGGAGGAGCGTTTCAGCTTGGACGCGGATGACTTTGGAGAGGACACAAGTTTACATCTCTACGCATTTACATCACAGAGGCGGGAGTGTGCAGGAAGAACTCAGACACGTGTGGTTACACGGTTTATGAAATTTGGGCCAGTTTTGCTCTGATCAGAGTGTCCATGTGGAGCATGTGGAGCACTCCTCGTGTAGCTGAACCTTTTCTACCATGCAAACTCATTTTGGCATCGACGCGAAGAAGACTGAAGTGAAAAAAAAAACTAAAC